TTTCTAATGGCACCCCAGTCACGCCAGGTGGATCACGCCGCGATTCCGCCCGTGCTTCCGAACACAGCCGCGTGTTGTGTAGCTGCGATTGCCGCGAGGATGTCACTCCATTGAAATCAATGGGCCCGTGCGGCAAACACTGCCTGCAATGTGCAGGACCGCGCAATCCTGGATCGCGTAGGTCTGCACCCGGCCTAAGGCTAAGTTCACACCTAGGCGATAAATCCGCTCGATAAATCCGCGCGATATTGCACAAAACAGAGATTTGCATTCAAGTCTATGAAAGCTGTTCACACGTTTGCAATTTGTCGTGCGGTAGAAATCGCCTGTGGCACAAAAAGGAGCGATTTTCGGGCGGATGTCTCGTGATTTGGGTCCCATAGACATCTCTATGCATTGAAGACTGCGCGAAAACAGCTCACCAGCTCAGTCGCTTAGGTGTGAACCGAGCCTAAATGCTTTATGTGAGCTCTGCCTGTTGGAGACAAGTTTAAAGCAGGCCATGCACTATATAATCTGTTTGTACAATCGCTGTACAATCTCCTTTAACCACTTCAAGACCAGGTGTTTAGACCCCCTTCCTGGCCAGGCCATTTTTCAGTATTCAGCGCTGCGATACTTTGACTGACGTTTATTCCGTCATGCAACGCTGTACTGAAATGAATTTTACACCATTTTTTGGGGACAGATAGAGCTTTCTTTTGGTGGTATTTAATCACCACTGGGGGTTTTATTTTTTATTATAATTAGGAAAAATTACTGAAAATTTTGAAAAAAAAACGTTTTTTTTAACATTATGTTAGGAAACATTTATTATTACCCAGTTTTTTGGTCAAATATAAAAGATCGGGTCACGTCGGTTAAATAGACACCAAACATGTCAAGCTTTAAAATTGCGCGCACCCGCGACATCGCAGAAAACGACCGCAACCAAAATTAGCCATAGGCGACGCTTTAAACGTTTTTACCGCTCATCAGTTTAGTGTTATCAGTGATTGATGGCCCTAGACTTATTGCTCTCACTGCGACGTTCGCGGCGATATGTAACATGTGCGGCGTAATGGGCGCAATCGTCTTTTTTGCACGTATGCGCCCCCGACGCATGTATGCATGCGTGTATGTATGGGTGGGGACTGAAATTTTTTTTATTTTTTTTTTATTCTTTTTTATGTGTTACTTAAAAAATTTTGGGGGGGGCTTTAATTTTTTTTTCCTTTTTTTTTTCTTCCCACCCATACATGCGTCGGGGGCGCATACATGCAAAAAAGACGATTGCGCTGTTTACGCCGCACATGTTACATATCGCCGCGAACGTTGGAGTGAGAGCAATAAGTCTAGGGCCATCAATCACTGATAACACTAAACTGATGAGCGGTAAAAGCTTTTAAAGTGTCGCCTATGGCCAATTTTGGGTATGGTAGTTTTCTGCGATTTCGCTAAATACAAGCTAAATACAAGCGATCCGCCGGCTTTACAGCCGGCGGATTGCATGTATATTAACGGGCATCGATGCCCGTTTTTAAATTGCGGCCATTTCCCGCTCGCACGCGCCCGGCGGTGCGCGCAAGGGGGCGTGTCTGAGCGGACGTCTAGAGACGTTTTTTTTACTACGGCCGGCCCGGAGGCAGTTAAACTTACTAAACTATGTAGTATGAGGACCTTTAAGCCCCTCTTCTCAAAACAACACATACACCAATATGAAATCTGTACTAAAATAAGTGCAGATACAGGAGTGAGCTTGGAGCGGTGGATACTTTACAACACACACACGGGACCATAGGGAACAAAAGTAGCCACCCTCCAGAAGGAAGGACAGTGTCAGCACCAATTCAGAGATGGTTTGAGGATCTACAGGCGAGTTATTGCTGGCTCTGCCTCTAGATAGGCAGAGCCAGCTGTCACTCACGCAGCTGGGAGGATCTCAACAGTAATGTCGGGATCCGTCCCGGCTGCGGCGATCTCAGTATACCGCGATCTGTAGCTTGCGATATACCGACCTTTGGGTCACGGGAGGACGCTAGTTTAGGAGAATACTTACCCCATAGTTCTCCTTTAAGGCACTTGAATGTATTTTTAAGATCTAGCTCCTAAATTTAGTGTCACTTTAAGCCCTGGGTACCTGTGGAAAAAAATGGGTTTACAGAGGAAAATAGAATTTTGGTTCCACAGATGAACACCTCACCACACCAATCCTGCCAAAGTCTGCCTTTTGAGAGAATCACTTTCCCTAAAATTTCAAATGAAAAAAAAAAACTTACTGTAAATCCAGTTTGTATTGACTATCTGTCATGACTACGGGTAGGCTACATGATAGGCAACTTCACATTTCCTATTAGAAATGTTAGTAGCAACTTTTAAAGATGTAAACTTTAAGATCCCATTTGTAATTACAAAGATGCGCGTCGGGCTTGATTGTTAATGTGACCCAAAACATGGCAAACAAGATGCACATTATTTTTTGCTCACAAAATGTGAAACAAATGCTTCAGCGCTTTACATACTGATCAGTTATTCTAATACAGGATCCATCTTGCACACTCATAGGGCTATCTATATTTCGACTAATAGGGATCTCTTGAAATTATATTTTAGAATCTGAGCTGTACCGCGCCTTGTGAATAAGTCCACTAATGTACAAATGTGACCCCCTTTGACTCCAGACAGCTCTCCTGTGGATCTAATAGGGTCATCCATATCCTTGTTATGGCTCCCTGTTCTGTGAAAGTGTGACCTTGCTAACTGAGCACATGCTGTGTGTTTGTGGATATCAGTCTATTCACAGTGAGAGGTCTACATACCCACTTCCCTTTTTAAACATGTAGCAATGTTCCTTGGATGATACATGTGTGATAACAGGATAAGTGTAAGAACAGCTGTCTAACTTAATGTCTCAATAACAGGGAATTCCCCCAGGCTCACTTTCAAGAGAACCTGTTTCACCCATCAGTCAATTAGACCCATGTCTGAAAAGGCAAAGTACAGTACAAAGCTGAACCTACAGTAGTAGTAGTAGTACAGTAACTCTAAGGTTTTTATTTTCATTACTGAGGCAAATATAAACTTTCATTATTATTTAAGAGAGTTTGAGGAGTAGTAGAGAAGAGAATGTTCACTAAACTTCAGCGGTTTTATAATTTTTTTTCTGCCAATAGAAATCTAGTTACTAGGAGGAGGAGATTATTGCTCACCACAAAATCATGAGAAAAATGTACCCTACACACAGGGGCGTAACTAGAAATCACAGGCCCCCATAGCAAAATTTTGTATGGGGCCCCGTGATTGCTAGTTATGCCACTTGCAGAGCCCACCATAGACTCTCTATGGTGGGCTCTGCAAGGTCTCAGTTGCGCTGTACGCCTCTTACCTGTCACCTCCGGGGTCGCCGCCGCCGGGCCCCTGCCTCCTCTTCCGTTCCTGGGCTCCGCCTCCTTCTATCGACGGGGCCCGCCTCCTCTTACATCACTGGCCCCACCTGCTCTTAGATCGCTGGCCAGTGATGTGAGAGGAGGCGGGGTTGCTGTTAGGCGGGCCCTGCTCCTTTACTGAAAATGCCGGTGTAACCGGCCTATTTTGCCGCATCTGCTGGCTGTCACTGAAACAGCTCCGCAGCAGCTGTGAGGGGGAACGTTCTCCTTCACAGCAGCTGCTGAGCTATGTCAGTGACAGCCAGCACCCGAGACGCCATAGCGACCCAGGCGGCCCACACGGCATCAGAGGGATGCTGGGCTCCCCTGTGCACGGGCCCCATAGCGGCCGCCTGGGTCGCTATGGCGATTGTTACGCCACTGCCTACACACATTTTAAAGGCACTCCTTTTGAAGGCTTTTTGGGCCCAAAACACCCAAAAGAAGCTCATGTACATTTTCTAAGCATTGAACAACAACACATCGTTCAGAAGTGAATGTGTACAATATAATACCATGGAAATATGCACTCTGGATGTCCTGGTCTAGAATCTTTGGCTATCATTAGCCATACTGGCCTGGATTCTTTGAGAGTCATTAGAAGTAAAAGAAGAGCTCCTATGAGCATCATCAGAGGTACTGGCCAAGCCAGGACTAGAAGTCCTGGCTTGGATTCTCAGAGATCTGCAAAACCCAGCAGGGACCCTGAGCTTACCAGCTGATAACAATTCCTCTGCCTCGAGACTCTGTAGCAAGTGTCTCACTTGCCAATAACCAAGCATAAGTGCTATCACATGTGAAGGGGGAGGCATGTATAGCACCGTGTAAGGTGGATTGGATGGTAGAGGAGCACAGGGAAAGTAAGTACACACTGTTTTATGTCATTCCTGTAAAGAACCTGTTACTTGTTTGCCTGGTGAGGACAAACTACTAGTTTAGTAAGTGCATAATGTCTCACTGCAAATGGCTAATTATTTGGAGGTATGAACATGACCCTCATTTGTTTATCACTCGGCTGTAGATCCTCAAACCATCTCTGAATTGGTGCTGACACTGTCCTTCCTTCTGGAGGGTGGCTACTTTTGTTCCCCATGGTCCCTGTGTGTGTTGTAAAGTAGCCACTGCTCCAAGCTCACTCCTGTGACGAACTACAATCTCAAAATTAGTTAGCTAATATGTATTAAAGTTATAATATAGTTATAATATATCATGGAAGTGAGCTTGGAGCGGTGGCTACTTTACAACAACACACACGGATTGAAGGAGAAAGAAGGAAGGAAAATTTATCTCAAACTAAAACATTTCCAAATGTGAGTGTGGTTCCCAGCTGTGAAAAATCATAATAATTGTAATGAGCACGTGCATGGAAAATTAAAATTACATAACTTCCGTGCATCCCGGGATTGATTGTTAGAATTTACCACATGGCAATGAAATATCATACAAGATCTGTCCAGTCCTCGATGGCACCATTGAACACTCAAACAATTTGTACAACCTTCTGCAGGTGTATGGCCAGCTTATCTAAACCTATGTAATGTATGGTTAGCATTGCTGATGTAATATGCTGATATATAAAATGAATTTAATGGTTACCCTAACAAGCCGAGCCCTTTTAACCAGGTCGTTGAGTTTGCGTAGGGCTGAGTTCCTGGGCAGATTCTGGATATCTTGAAATAAGTCCTGTTCTTCCAGCTCAAACAAACGCCTGTTGTTAGGAATCATGAGCGGCTCAGACCAGAATGAACCTATGTAGACTCTCAGCACTTCTGGTGTATTGAACACTTTGCCCAGGGACCACATGAGTGCACCATAGACACGCATCAGTTGTTGTGTTTCCACCATGTCGGCCTTATTAAGGACAACACGGATCTTGTCTTCATTGCCCTTGAGGGCTCGAATAGCTTCTGAGAATTCATCAGAAATCTCCAACTTATGGGCATCAAACAGAAGGATGATACGATCCACTCGTTCAGCAAACCACTGCAGGACCGATGGAAAGTCATAACCTGGAACGAGATGAACGAGATCGGTCCAATTAGCCTTAAAAACTCAATAACAGTGGATGCATTAAAAATAGCAAAATATAAGTGTACGTCAGCCATCCTTTGTGGAGGTGAGGAAGCTGATCAGTCATTGTGTTGGACAGTCATAGGGTCCCCACACACCTTACGATTATCGTACGAGAATCGCGGGAAATCCCGCAATCGTACGATGATCGTAAGGTGTGTGGAAGCCGTGCGACCTCTACTACTGTAAGGACAGTAGAACTTACGGACATGTTCAAAAACCTGCCGAGCATCGTACGATGTTCGGCGGGTTTGTGGCATGTCCGTACGATAACAGCCGCACGGGCCGGTGTGCGCAAGCGCACACTGCCCGTTCGGCATTGCGGTCATCGGAAGCCCGCCCCTCAGGGGGCGTGGCTTGCGATCATCGCAAGTACGATCTGCCTATGCAACATAGGCAGATCGTACGTTTTTTTAAGTACCTTACAACCATCGCAAGACAAAAGTCTTGCGATGGTTGTAAGGTGTGTGCCCAGCCTTAGGAATAAAGCTTTAACTACAAGAACTTTCATGGATGCTTTGGAAACCTTCAACTTGATGAACCCCCAAGTGCAGGATGGAGTTTAAGTTGTAACTCTGTGGTTTGCACCTCTGTGTACATAGATAGTAAATAATTCATAAATTCACATTATTTAAGAATGCATAATGCAAAACAGGTTTGTTGGGGTAAAAAAAAACTATTAAGGAAATATATACAGGCTGTATATTTTATATTTGTTAAAAAGGTATTTTAGCAAACCTTTTTGCAGATTCTTACCTGCATTTGTTATTTTTATACTAAGTTGACTCACTTAAACTGAGGTTTGGGTTCAAAGGAAACAAAAAAAAAAAAGGATAGAGAAAGGTGGGGTTTTTGAGTGGCTCCAGAGGGGACACAACCAATAAACTTCAGTCTTGTAATATATGTAAAAAAGTATAAATTTATTCAACAATTGACTAAAATCAATGGATATGCATCAAAGCATGTATAAAACATATACACAACAGGGATTGACAAAAAACCTCCTATCAGCCCTTGTGCTCCACAACCAAGGTTGGTCTATGTACTCATAATCTTATACATATAATGAGAACATCACGTGTAGATCAAAAGAGAGGATGTAGTTGAGTTACTAAACCTCAGGTGGGAGCAACAATCTTAAAGGGGTGATCATTTCTTGTAAGGTAAACTCGACGCGTTTCGCACCTAAGGCGCTTCTTCGGGAGCAGAGGGAGTTAATCCCTTCGGTGTGAGGTCACCAGGTATTCGGTACTGGGTGGTATCGGATCAAAAAACCAGTAAACCCAGAATGGAGGAAGATGGATGGCTAATCAGGCGGGCCTGGATGCTAAAAGGTAGCGTGGAGAGATATCCACAGGGAGAAAAACAAGTGAAGTCCAGGACAGCTGATAAAGAAAGGTCCTCCAAATACGACCGCTGATGTTGGTGGGGCCGTTACCAGCCCTACACGTTTTTCTCCCTGTGGATATCTCTGCACGCTACCATTTAGCATCCAGGCCCGCCTGATTTTCAGTACCATAAGCGGTAACCCCAAGCCACACTCGGAATTACAGTCTCTTACCTTGTCCACGATCCCCGCTGTGTCCTCCGTCTTCCGCTGAGTCAATCACGGCAGGCTTTGTATTAATTAATACAGGCTTTGTGGTCATTAATACAAAGCCTGCCGTGATTGGCTCAGCGCGGTATACTGTATGTAGCCGAAGCTACATACAGTATACCGTATCCTTCCGTATGTACCCGGCGTATAAGACGACCCCCGATTTTCGGGGGATGTTTTAAGGTCTCAAAACCCGTCTTATACGCCGGCAAATACGGTATATCTGTTTGATTAATGCAAAAATACCTGTTGCTCCTGCCAAACACCTTTTGAGCTGATAACTTCCTGTGCCTCTAGTGCACTGTTATCAGATAGCATTGTTCCAATGTCCAGAATACCTTTCCCCTATGTTATAGAGAAGAACCCTATCCTATATGGAAATAAAATCATGTTCCTCATTAAAGGAGAACTATGAGGTGAGTGATTTTCACTCAACCTCATAGTTCGAGCCGACGTGTGACAATTAAACTGTCACACGTCGGCTCAATAGATCGAGAAGTGAACGAACACATACCGTCGCTCGCTCACTTCTCGATCGCATCCCTGCAGAGAGCCGTGACTGTCACTGCAGGGATTCCCCCTCCTCCCCGCTCCGATCCTCCAGCGCTGACTGGCGGAACGGACGGGGGAGAGGGCGGGTACAGTATCTAGATAGGCAGAGCCAGCTGTCAATTTCGCAGCTGGGTGGATCTCGACAGCATTGTCGGGATCCGTTCCGGCTGCAGCGGTCTCAGTATACCGTGAGCTGTAGCTTGCGGTATACTGAGCTTTGGGTCACGGGAGGACGCTAGTTTATGTCCTCCCATGACCCTTAGGAGAACAATGGGAAAAAACACTTACACCATAGTTCTCCTTTAAGCAAATGTCCTCTTGTCCTTTGTACATTCCCAGGGTTACAAGTTCATACATCCCATATATTTTCAGACCGTGGATAAATTTATACTTAAGATTTAAATCACCTCAATGTCATGTGTAACAAGCCCTGCTTTTCTAGCCTTTCATTTTAAATGAATCCAGCTATCCCTTTTATCAATCTAGACCCTGCCTTGATTTTCACATGCCCTATAAAGTATGGTATGCTAGTACCGGCATATACCAGCAATCGTCCTTAGTCTAAAAAAAAAATAGACCAAAATCTGATTGGATACTATGGAAAAGCCTGTCTTATTACATAAGCCCAATGTGGTTTCAGCGTTACTGTTTTAATAATTTGAGTATGAAAACATGTTGGCAGTAACAGCTGTATTTGGAATATGAAAAAGTATAAACAGTTTATGCAAAGCTAGACCTTAAATAATTCCATGATGAATAAGAGCAAACCATCAGCTGTGAATAACAGTGAAATGTTTATTAAAATGTAATTAAGCCGGTCCTAATGTATGTACTTTTTTTCCATATTTCCATGAGCCTCGATTTAGTTAAACCGGAGTAAGTTTGGATTCTAATAATCCAGCCTGCTGTTCTTCAGTGTCTGTTATATATCGGCCGTGACACCTGCTCAACACATGAACCAAAGCAGCGCAGGAAGAGTGGTGTGTAGACGATATCAATTCACACAGTGGACTTATGAAATGGAACAAATAGAAGTAGAGATTTCTAGCTTAATATTCTCAATGTCGAATGAATGCTTGGTTGGCTTCCATGGTGGGAAGCCCAATTTTTGTTTTGTATTAGTCCAAATAGTAGCCCTCATTTATCAAATCTGACTGAAAGAAAAATGTCTATGTCCCAGATAGCAAGGATAACTTGCCACAAACTTGTGGCAGGGTTAAATTGTAATTCTTGTTAACTTGCTGCACACATTCCTGGCAAGTTGTAGACTTGCAGAACACTTGCAGCACAAGTTCTAGTTGACACTTTTTGAATTTGTAGCAAATTTGCTAGGCAAGTCTACAGCAAGAGTTTCCCGGTGTTAGCAAGAGCTTTGCAAGTGTACAGCACTTTTGCAACGCACGTTGATCTGGAGACTTGCAATGCAATGTAATTTTCAAACTTGCAGCTCAATTGCTTGCTATCTGGGGTGCTTATCCTGGAATGGGTCCTCCAAGCCCTGGGTGCCACAGTTCTTGCCTGGCTGTGACCTGGGCGCATGGGAGATAATTCCCTTTTACGCATAGAAGAGGCAAACATTTTGTTTTACTGACACAGAGGTTTTCTTATCATTTTCAAAGTCTCAATGTGCAGTTTATACATCCAACAACCAGAGTAGGTTGTTATCATTTTCTAGGGAGGTCGAAGACTATTTGGTTATCAAAACCAATGCTTTAATTGGCTACCTCATAAAACCAGTCGGGCTGTATAGGACTTCTTTAAAAGCTAACATTTTAACCCCGTGATTCATGGATAACAAGGCGAAAGATCCTATTCCTATGGTTTGCCATACACATGTAGATATCTCTCATTCAGCCCTGCCGGCTGAACAAGAGAAATCACTTGATTCTCACATCCACAATGAACAGTGTGACTGGAGAAATCTGTACTGCCAGCTATTATATCAAACAGCCACGGGCACCTGCGCCTGCCTGATTAGCCGAACAGTGACTGGATCTGATGAGATGTAATTTGTGTGCATCCCACAGTTCCCCACCCAACTCCTTTGATGTTAAAATTAACTTTTGTTAAGCGAGGGGGTGGCGAAAGGGCTACACACGGCTCAATTTCTGGCCAATTCAGCAGAAATTAGCTGAACCTCGAGCCATGTATGGCTAGCTTTAGGTACTATGCTAATACACAAAGCAAGACTTTCACCACCACTCCTTATGTAGGGACACAGTTAGAATTTCGAACAAACGAAATCAATTTCGGAACGTTCAACTTTCTAATTGTTCATGGTGTCAAATTGATGATCAATTACGACCGCAGTGCCAAAAAATTTGAGGAGCATGTTGGAATGATCGAACTAGATTCTAACAGTGAATGTGGTTTTCGTGCAGGAAATTCTATTACTTCCAAAATCAAATATTAGATGGAAACAAAAATCAAACAATATTTTTTATCTGATGGCGTTATAAAACATTCCAACGAGATTTTTCATACGAACGTTCAGTTAAAAATCTACCAGTGTATACCCTACTTTTCTGGTCAGGACTTTTTAGATATGGTTTCAATATCTGGACCTCTTAGTGTATGTAGAAGGTTTCCTTAAAGTGTATGTATAACCAAAGTGTTTTCTTTAGTGTTTGGTTAGAGTAGGGAAGGGATAAATCCCCTGCCAAGTAGTTATTTTGCTGTCTGTGTATCATTGGAGGAGTTTCTTTTTACTTCCAGTTCCAGAGAAGCTAAGTTATTGAAATTTACTAAAGTGAGGGAAATTTCCCATTTTCTTAGACAGTTATTCCTGGA